CCCTTCCAGAACAGACTGAGCAAGGTGCTGACACTGAGTGCAGGGGAAATAGGACAAACATGTTCTCCCTGTTCTTATGGCTGGATGCCTTCCATCAGAGAAGGACAACAACTGGGTACTCCTTTTCGACATTCATTATTATATTCAATATTTATTATATGAAACACTATCAACGTTTACGGTACTTTATACGGGAGGCTGTGATTCCTGCACCGCAGGCGGTTTGACAAGATGATCCTTGGAGTACGTTCCAAGTCTCCAGTTCTACGGTTCTGGGGGAGGCGCAAGTCCCAAGCAGCTTACACTGTAATGTTCAACAAGGAGGAAACAATTGACAAAGGGAGTAAAAGAGGGAAGTAATGTGCAGGGTTGCATGTGCTTAGCTTCACAAGGGGAGGGTGGTCATTCCATCTAACAAGCCCCAATGCTTGCCTTGATTACCTTAGCATGGTAGTCATTTCTTTATTTTTATGTGGTTTTGATTACTGTTTGAAACAGATGGTGATGATTCTGCATTAAGTTGCATATGTGCTGTGGGTTGGACCCATAGTTTTGTCCCACTGGAAGAAGCTTCCCCCCCCCCTTGGAAACACCTCTCACACTGCTATGGTAAGTTCATTCACCCTTGGGAGTAGATTTTCAGAGGCCATGGGGCCATAAGCTGCAGGGGCAAGGCAGAACCAGCCAAAATTATCACCCATCCCATCAGTGGGATTTGGCTGCTGGATCAGAAGATTGTGCTGGATGGAAGGAGCTCTTCTGTTCATAGGAGGCAAAGGCAGATGCAAGAAGTGGGATATGCCTAGGTCAAAAAAGTAATTTGTTACAATTATTTGGAGGTGCAAGCTCCTCTGCTACTAAATTTAACCTCATACAATGTTTTGTAAACAACCACACACTAGTATTTCCCCTTTTGCTTTATGCATTCATGTTGTTGATTTAGGATCAGGGAATAACTCCATTCATACCAGCCACGGTGCATTAAAAAAATCATTTTGAGGGATGTGCCTGTTGAGGTAAGGGGTAGATAGTTGCTTAAGCGAAGCCATTCTTCAGTCATGTGGCAAATGGCACCATACCATTTTGATCTATGAGACATCTCTTTGCACAAATTATTCCTATTAATGATAATGAGAGGACTGCAAATGCTTTGACAGCTGAATGGCACCTTTGGTTTTGGACTATTAGTCTATATTATTCAAACCGTCAGGAGCAGGCAGGTGGTGGGAAAGACTGTAAATCTATTTTTTATCCACAGCTAAGCTTACACCACTGTGGACCTCGGGGATTCTAAATTCACCCAAATAGTTTAGTGCCCCAGTAGTATTTCACAGTTCTAATTTCTATCAATCTTCTCCCACTACTCTGAGCTATTATTTATTTGTCTTCAAATCTCCATTATTCATTTATGCTAGGTATTATTTCACCACTGCCTTCATTCCCCCCACACCCCTGGTACCTCATACAGAAAGTCTCTTATTGCTGCAGAATGAGAAGAAGCATTCTAGCATGATTTAAAGTTAATAATAGACAAATTCTATTAATAATATTAGAATTTCAACATTGTTCCTTGGTTTCTTTTGTAAACCTAAGAAGCTGAAACAGCAGGCTCAAATAATTTGCAAATATTCTGTGACAATCTGGGGATTAGGAGTGGAGTGCCATCAATATGCTGATGACTCTCAACATTGTTCCCCCCCCTTCAGATTCAGGTGAGACTGTGGAAGCACTTGAACCTCTTCTTCGAATCAAGAATGGACTTCATGAAGGTCAATAAACTGAAATTCACTCCCTTTAAGATGAAGATTTTGTTTGTGGGAGTTCTTCTGTTCAACATATTCACAATATGACTTCCAGAATCCTACTGGTGGTCAGCATAACTCCTTATTATATGAGTTGCACTGATTTTCAATGTGTTTCTGGGTCCAGTGTAAAGTACTTGTTTTGACCTTGAAAAACCTAAATGCTAGTTTGGGCTCACGCTATTTACTGATCTGCCTTAACCCATACTACCTTGAGATCTGCTTTGAAGGCTCTCCTGGTGTTCTTACCCTCTAGGTCAGAAAAGTGGTGGGGCACAAAGGACAGGTCCTTCTCCATGGTGGCCCCACTGCTATGGAACTTCCTCCCACTAGACCTACACCAAATCTCTGTGCAGCAGGATTTTTAGGAGCCCTGAACACTCATCTTTTTGACAAGTGATTCCAAAAATGCATATAATTAGATTCTGGAATGTTGAAAGGGCCTTCTGATTTGAACTTTGAACGGAATGTGTTCCCAGTTCTGGGTGATTTCAGTCTTTTGCTGATGCCACAGCTCACTTATTGGAGTCATCTGGGTTCCATTGCAACCATATTTATGGTTCTACAGAACTGTGCACATCAATTCCAATCGTGTTTTTAGAGACAATGCAAAGTTTTTTCACTGTCTTAAGCAGTTCATTTTCTGCCTTGGACGAGACCGGTCCAAACAGAGAGTGGTTCCCAGAATCTTCAATGGTACCATATGATATGAGCTATCTTCTCAGTTTTTGCAGGCAGTTTCCAGCTGGAAACTGTAGGAGACATAAACTTGGTCAAACATGTGTCATTCAAGGAAGAGACCATGGCTCAGATGCAGAACTCAATTGTTTTCTTGTAAGTCCCATCTTCAATTCCTGGCACCTCCAGGTAGCATTGGCAAATCTGATACCACTGAGAGCACCTGCCAGCCATTGTAGTCAATAGTGTGCAAGATGGACTAATGGTCTGATTCACAATAAGGCAGCTTGCTATATTCCAACGTGGGCTGCAATCCTTTAATTCCGAGCTATTGTGTCTGTACAATTCACTAGGGCCCACCTTGGATATAACTTTCATTGCACTTTCAGAGCTGCAGATAAATGTGTTTAAGATTCCAAGAAGTTTATTCCTATAATTCTCTGTTTCTGGCATACTAGAACCCCTGGCCTTAGACAATTGAGGGAAACTGGGAATATGGAAATAACATTATTTCTTTTTTAATATTAATATTTGGTCACCGTATTAGGAGCCAGGGAAGAATTTGACTCTAGGCTAATTGGTTCTTGTCTGAAAGTTTGGCCTATGTCATAGTAACTGTCACAACTTACTAGCAGATAAGACATTGGGTTGGATCATTAGTCTAAGCTCTGTGGTTAAAAGATATCTCCTTAATAGAAGCCTGGAGGAGCTGCTTCTTGTCCAGACATGTAGCTCAGGGGCAGATGGGCCATAGCACCCCAAAATGGTGGCCTTGGGCATTGCCCTGATTTGATGCACATCATAGGGTGGTCCTTAACCTTGGTCAACCCTGCCAATCATAAACCAGCAGTCAGGCTGGTTGATTTTAGGATACACACCCAATGCCTATGGCCAAAGCCTGCTGACAACTGTAATCAATAAAGTTGTGGCCTGTTAAAATCCCAATATTGTTGCTTTGTATTTTATTGCAACTAATGTTGTGTTCTGCCCCCACTCTGCCCATGGCTCCTCAGAGGGTAATAAAATTATTCCAGAAATTTTGGTAATACAAGCAAAACATAGGGTGTATTTGGGAGTAGATTGATTAGCTGTTTGGATGCAAGTGGTTGGGCTGCCATTTCCAAAGTCCCCCAATCAATACTATACACTTTGTACTCTGCTGCCAGCTGACACTTTGCGTCACTTTCTACTAATCCAATAAGGTCAAAGCAAGTTTCTGTAGGAATTGCACAACTTTATGAAAAATGCCTGAATCACAAAAACGCTGCAGTAGGATATATATACACACTCACACACATCACTGCAGTACACAATTATCAACAGTCTTAAGACGAGCAATAGGTAAAAAAAGGCTTACAAGGCACATTTACTACCCTTCAGGAAGCATAGCACAGTACGGTGGTAGTGGAGGGAGGCAAATGTATAATTCCTTTTTTCTCTCCAGCTCAGTAGACTTCTGAATCAAAGGATGAGGTTTCTTTGAATTAGAGAGGAAAGGTAAAATGCGTGGAAATCCATCGTCTAAAAACTTCTTAGGAAGCCAATTAGATCACCTGTAATATTTTAATCTTGGCAGCACGCAAAGTTAGGAGAAGTAGCTCTCCCCCATTCTTCCCCTAAAGCAATATTTTTATCAGCCCATCTGTCACTGCATTTGGTGTCACTGGTGCATTGCCATTTTGTCACCAAAGCAGAACATGCTGCATTACAAGGCAGATGCTACGTTTTGATAAAATATATTGGCACTGAATCCCAGTATAATAACAATGGAAAGTTTGTAGCTTGCATTCACTGTTGTAAAATGGATTCCATTATGGCGAGGGGAGGGTAGCATGCCTGCAAATATATTTCCTTCAAGATGTTTAATAGGAAAAAACACATTATTCCCCCCCCCCCATGTACATTGACAGAAAGAGGATGCAATCACCTGGAGGGTGTGCAATCATTAATATGGACAAAAAAGGAAGGAAATGTGATGAATAACTGTGCACTTTTCACACCCCACAGATAAATTCTATCAGACAGAAAATAAATGCCACATTTGCTTTTAAAGTAGTGAATTCAGGATTGCAAATTTAAGTGTTCATTCCGTGCATCTCCCTTACTGCCACAGGAGGACAGACATATTAAAGGACGTTTCCACCAAACAGGATCCAATAAGATAAATGCAATTGCATTTTGCCTGCTGTTTCCCAAATTTTACAGGGATACACAATAAGCAATAAAAGTCCAACACAGGGAGGATAAAAAGGGTGGTTGGCTATTAGACAGAACAAAGGAGGAGGGCTTGTGGCTAAGTACAGATTTAATGAGAAGGAACAGGTCTGTTGTTCAAAACCATTCTTTGGCCTATTACAGCTTCTTTGACACTATTTCTCCCCATCCCTTTATTTGCCGCAGCTGCCGCTACCTTTCCTAGAGGAGCTTCATGGGTGAACTCATCCAATCAGCAGCCACAGTGAACTGCATGACATCACAATGATGTTGCCATGCTTGTTCAGGACACTCATCTGAATCTATCTTCAGAGTTGGTGGTGTAAGTTTAAGGAACAATGGATGATTGAGGGAATTTAGACCAGGTGCTAGGGGAAACTATTCTCTCCACAACCCTGGCTCTGTTCCTGCCAAAATTCAGCCTGCTGTAAGTCTGGTAGGGCTCTAGCATGGTTTCTAAATTAACAAGTGCACAGTGTAGGTAGCATTAAGAACACTAGCCTCTATAGTTGAATATCTTCAAGAGATTCCTGGGAGGGCAACAGAGGGCCACAGAACTAAGACTGACCCTCCAAAATGAGTTAACATTTATGTCAGTCAAAAATGGCACAAGTATGAAGATGCAATTATCCAAGAAATAGGACACATGTGTCTCTTGTTATTTGCGGGTATTATCTAGACCTGTATGTTGAAGACACTCAGTGATAAATTCAGTAACATTCACCTCATTGTGACCCAAACTGAGACTTCAGATGGGATCCTGTTGAAATTAAATCCTCCCCAAAAGAGGATTTGCACATCAAGAAGTGTGTGTTTGTGTAGGGTAGGATGGTGTGTACATTGCACTAAGCAAGGCAAGCAGTCTTATCACTCAAAAGTGACATGGTGAAGAGAATCCATAAGGAGGTAATGGGCCACTACTAATAAGTGAAAATAAATTCTACGTCTTCTGTTGTTTTGTGGCAAAAATGATTTATGAAACTAATACACCTTTCATTTTTAATGTCTGAGTTTCTCAGCACCTCACCTCCCCAACTCTCTATTACCTGGATATATTATGATGACAACCTTATACAGAAACTCATTTATCTTATGCTATTTCTACCATATTATTGCAATTTTAAAAATTTCCTTAAGGTTAGGAGCAACATCCTGGGTAGAAATGCATCTATTTGCCTTCATAATAGCCAGCAGGAATGCACCTCTACCTGCCGCATCTGATCTGTCCAGCTCTTGAAGGCATTGTTCTATATGGATCCCAAAGCATACACAGCTCACGAACCTGCAAAATGCAGCGTCGACCTGACAATTAAAGTGAGGTTTCAAACACTGTCACCAAATCGAAGCACGTCATGTAGCCACACCAGCAACGTTTTCAGGACAGAAATATCAAAAGAAGCTACACAGCAAGTAAATGTAACCGATAGATGGCACCTACCATTGACACCCTAAACCATATTGGATTCCAGGACCTGTAAACGGTGCCACTGGCTTAAACCAATTGGGTAGGGTGAACTGAATGAGTCCCATCAGCAGAATCTCTGTAAAGGATTTGCACAATGGGACTTTCCCCTGTCTCCCCACCCACACACCCACTGAAATTGTATTGGGGGTGGAAGAACCCACAGAACAGTGTGCAGAGGGTGGGGACCTTTCTATCTGCGAAGCTGAAATCCTTGCACTGGTGGAATGTTCACCTGAACTTCTCCCATTGAGTATGGGCAAACTGGCCTATACAAGATGAAAGACAATGCAGTGATAGGTTAACCAGTGCTGTTGTAACATCTTTACTTTCAGCATCTCAGCAGTGTTATAAACCAGCACATTTGTTGTTAGTGCAATTATTTTGGCTCGTTGCTGTTTTGTCATCAGATGGGGAATATGCTTTGCTTTCTCTTGACTTTATCCAAAAAGTTTGATTAATTTTCCTGCTGCTCTCAGTAGGTTTCTGTTTCATTGGTAGAACACTATGGGCTCTCTTCTCCACCTCATTTATCACCTATGCAAACTCTAGGATATTAATCAAATACTGGACAACATGGAGAGAAACTATTTTTTCTCTTTCCCCCCTATGAAATCTTCAAAATACAAGGAAATTCATACCCTGTAGGGATAATTGATATTATAAATAGGCTTTATTTCTTGCCATAGTGTTCCAGATGGTTACACTTTTCTCTCTTTGAATACTTTCTTATTGACACAAATTCAAGAAACTTAGGAGAGAAGATGAAGAAGGAGGATGCCACCCATATGGAGATCTGGATATTTCCTGTTTAGAATGTGTGGTCTAAATAGACAACAGCAAATGGTGGCGTCTTAGGGTTGTCATATGTCCTCTTTTTCCTGGACACGTCCTCTTTTTCATGGGTATGTAAAATGAGAGTCGTGATAGCGATCCATAATTAAAAGTAGAAGTCGGCAAATGTGTCCTCTTTTTTGCTCTTCAAAATCTGGCAACCCTATGGGGAGGACACATTGACCTCACATTTCAGGGGGATAGTTCCCAAATTTGCCATATCATTCAGCCCCCAGAGAGAGGCGACATACACGTCTAACATTTAGTAAATATTGTAAATTGGTTCACCTATAGTTCATTGCATTTGCCACACAAAAACAGACAAACAGCTTAGGTGCAGTTCCACATAAAAAGCAATTTGTGTGCACCAGCTCCTCACAAAGGTCTGGCGATCTGCTAAATAATGGCAGTGCAACATGTTAGTATGGAACAGCTGTAATCTGCTGATGGATAGCAACTAGTTCTTTTTATGTATGTGACCCATTCCAAAAGATGCTTGGCACATGAAATAGCATCCACATAGACAACAATCACATCAAAGCACAATTCCCAGGAATAGAGCCAGCGTCATCAAAGCCAGCATATGATCCAATGCATCAACAGTGGCATAATACAGTTTTAATGGATAAAAGAAGAAAATGCTGATTGCGTAGAAACTACCTTGGAGATATTGTGTACATCAGCCTTTACTGTATTTTATATTGTAGTATAGCAACAACTGGCGTTCACACGGTAGCTTACTCCATTGCCCCAATATTTCTGCATTATATTTTAGTTTCCACGTGATGTCACTTCTGGAAATATAGTGAAACATAGCATAAGTTCAGCATTCATTTCTGTGTTATTTGCTTTCAGAAAATATCTGTTTGCAAATATCATGGAAATGAGTGCTAGACTTGCACTATGTCTACTGTAAAGTGGCTTTTATGTCACGTGAAAGCTCAAGTATAACAATGCAGAAATGAACAGTTAGGGAAATGTCAGGGAAATGGAAAAAGCTGTCGTGTGAATGCAGCCTAGCGGAATCTGCAACAAAACATTGAACCACATCCTCACCTCTTAGCAGGAGTACTCAAATTCTAGGTTCCTTTCAGGTAGCCATATCCCTCTCCAGGATTCCCAATTACAATACTGCCCCACCTCCCAAAAATCTCCCTCCCCTGACATTTAACATTCCACAGCTACTAAGCATGCACTGTTGTAGTAGGGATTGCTCCTTTAAGGTTGTGGTTTGGCAAAATCCTACTTCTGCAAACCTTGTTCTCCCCCCAAGTCTACTGATAGCTCTTTCTTGTTTTTCAGCCACCCCATTTGGTGACGTAGTCATTGGTATTCACTGCCTGAGTTCGCAATTAGAGAAAGGGTTGAAACTTAAGAATGCCGCTTGTATCTGGAAGGCCATATTAGGTTGCGAAAGAGGAAGATTTTTCTGCTGCTGTACTTTGTATGATTTGCAGATGGATGTACTGCAGATGTGAGTCAACTCCCCCCCCCCATACCGAGACAGCTCATTAAATTTCATTATTAGTCTTCAGCTGCTGTGGATTTGAAACTTTAAACAATATGGTGTTTTGCAAATGCTCTCCCTGAAAATAAGGAAACAATCTATTTTATTCTTCACCTCAAGTAACATCATACCCGTTTGAACTCACACCTTTTGCTCTTCTGCAGAGTATTTCGCTGTTTACAGGGTTCAGTTTGCATTATATTCTTGCCTTCATTAAAGATGCCAGATCCTCGTCATCTTCTACTTCTTTTTTTGGCTATTCAAAACAAGAAAATAAATAAAAATACAGTTATTTATAATTCATGGTATAATACAGTCTATTTTCGGCAATTCTAGTGATGGTGCGATATCTCAGGCTGTGTAGGATTGTAATTTCACAGAGTAATAAACCATCTTGATCAATAGGAAAGGGATACATAGGTCATGCCTACAAAAGCCAGTGCATGGTTTACAATCTATCACATCAGTATTGAATGGATTGCTAGACTGTTTTTATGAGATATTATTATTTTAAGAGCATTGAAATGCTTTGAGATGTCATTTTTGTTTGCATTTGCTGCTGGTTGTAAAACCACCGCCACCACCTTTTATTGACATTGGATTAGATATATACCGCTGTTCTACTGCTGCTATTATGAATTGTCTATTGTGATTGTCAATTTTGCTATGTATTGCTGTTCGCATTGCCAGCGTAAGCCTCTGTTCACAAACTTTTCAATGGAACAATGGCATACTAATAAAAACTGATGATCATGGTGATTATGATGATAATAGTAGTAATAATATGGGTAAGTTACCTAAGGGATCTTCATAATGCCTCACATTACATTTTGTATTTTAGATCAAACACTTGTGTAACTGGTATTCTGCAACCCAAGTCTTTTACCATTATTCACTCATATCGGGTTTCCCACACACAACTGATCGACAGCCGTCACCTGAAAGCTGATCACACATGCAGGAGAACATCACTTCCAGGACTGTACCACATGGTATGGCATTATTTCCAAGTGGCAAATGATTCTGCAGAGGGATGTGTGTCCCAGCTGCATCAAATGAATTTTATTCATTCATTTATTAAATTTACTGCTCACATTTTCCTGCCAAAGGCAACTCAAAGTGACTTACAGACAAACAAGCAAACAAAAACTCACACAGACTTTAGCTAATGGGGCCAACTGCTGCCGCCGTGCAATTTTTGTTCTCACCCTGAAGCAAAGTTCTTAACCCGAGGTACTATTTCTGGGTTAGTGGAGTCTGTAACCTGAAGTGTATGTAACCCGAGGTACCACTGTATTAAAAACATCCCATCAACCTACTGTTACTGAAAGTGGGTGTGGACATTAAATTCCAACTGTATGCGTATGGCTAGATTTCATCTATTTCCCCCATTCCTAAGATATTGATTGATTGCACTTATATCTCACCTTTTTCTCCAGGGACCTCAAAGCAGCACACATGTGATAAGAGATTGTGTCTTGTCTAAAGCCATCAAGTAATCTGATAAAAAAAAAAGAAATGGGGATAATGAGATTAACAGATCAAATATCTTCCATTTCATGCCTTTTTTAGGAACTGACCTATCAAAATTTTGAAGTTTTATTCTCTCTCTCCTTATCTAAATAGGATGGTTTTCTGCTTTTGGTAGTCAACTCAGAATGTGGCTGGGGTCTGCTGTTAAGTGTCAAACATATGCAAAACCTGAAGTGGCCCTCCCCCCCCCCCCAGCAATAAGTTACACACTCCATTTCTTTACATTTCAAATTTCCTGTGTATTGTGATATGATGTGCGAGGTATTACTGCATCATTCTTGATCGTATTACCATGCGACATATATTTCAGTGCATCCGTTTGAAAAATATGCATGGGGATAAGAAGATAAAATGACACAAAATACATTTCACAGCGGTATTTTGATTAAACAACCTAGCCTGGTAATTAAATGCCCCTAAAAAAAGAATGGGAATATTAAGTGTGACCTATTCCTGTGTTGATCCCAGCCAAACAATATCTCAGATGGAGAAATGAATATTTTGGGGTTATCTCTTTCATGGGCTTGGATCTTACTTTTCTTTCCATGGACAAAGCAATGTTCATGCTCTCCCCCTTTCCTCTGCAGGTCCTACATACAAACCCAAACAAAACTCTGAGATAATGGAATCTTTGGGAATGGCATAAGATATTGCAGGGAGCTGCAGATGGAGCAGGGAGAGAATTGGTGCAAATTGCTGCCCTTTTATGAATGGAATAGCAGTTTAAGAGCTAAGCCAACATGTCTTTCTGATATGGATAGCTTGTTAACCCTGCTTCCAATGGGAAATTTGCAAGGATCAGTCCAAAACTATGCAGCCTCAGTTGCCAGGTAGGACAGGTTGCAGCCAAAATTGCCAGGTAGCATAGGTGATGTATGAATCTCAACTCTATTTTAATAGTCTTTGACCTCCAATTTCACACATAGCACAGTCACAATGGTTGGATCACTACAGAACAAAAGGGAGGAGACTCACATGACTGAATATTCCTCCATACAAAACCTCCCTACACACACAAAATCGTATGTTGCATCTCTGCACTTACTCCCCTCACAGCAAAGGTGTCAATTTTCTATGTTCTTGAAGACCATTCAAGTTAGGTATCCAGGGACAGACCTTGTCACTGCGACAGGTAGCCAAGAATCTGGAACACAGCTACAGCTACATGCATATGTCTGGGAAAGCGCTTAGGCATTTGGAAGGAGATTCCATGACCTTTCTATATTTTTCTAGATTCAGGTCTTAAACTCATAGCTATCATTGTAATATAAAATAAGTACATCTCGTTGCCATTTACTGTTCATTTACCTGCAGTGTTGGAAGTTAGCCCTCTGTCCAATGATACCTCCTTACAACAGGGTAAATGTCAGTCACGTTAATGAGACTAATCACGATCACTTTTAATTGTGTTCCAGCTTGCAGGAATTTAAAATGAGCCACTTCCCCTGCCACTTTCTTCAGCAGTCCAAGGCCTTTGAAAACATAGCTCAAAACTGAATTATGGTCATTGTTGTAATGGTTGTAATAATTGCATAAAATCGGATACTTTAAGTTAGACAGATACTGAATTAATCTTTCCAAGAATGAGAACAGATCAATCTAAGGTTGTTCATGAGCTATCAGCTGTGTTCAACTGATCCTCATGATATATCCAAAACACTTGTGGATGGTGAAGAAAGCCCTGCAGTCTTCGTCTGTAAAAACTTCATTGCTCACTTTTGGGATATACTGCCCTTCATGTATCAGTCTGCACCTCTCACCTGTAAATATTCAGTATTAATTGTACTGGATTTATTGCAAGTCACTTGTGACTGGAACATTCAATGTCACCCATCAGCAGTATTTTTTAGGGCCTATTAAAGCCAAGTGGGCACAATGCATGTTAAAATAATATACTGTGAAATGCTTCACATTAGATTAATCAAGTAAGGATAAAGAATAATTCTAAAAGAAAATAAAACTGTTTCCATTTATTAATTACAAATTGCAATAATATTGCATTTGCTATATTTGAAATTACACCAAATTGCTCATTATCAGATGAATCTGGTCTTTGGTGTGTAGTAAATGAATGTGGTTTGTCTTAAATGAATGTTTTCAGGAAAATATATTTATGAATATTAAGTGCACAGAGGAAACAAATGGTTTCTCATCCGCAGAATGAACCCGCTTTGTAATGTCCTTGAGAAATGTGTGTGCTCTCACAGTTACATAAATCAGCCTTACATACACATTTTAAACCTACCTATTGGCTTCTCTTTTCGCTGATTACATTTCAGCTTTCTTTAGTTGTTTTATTACTGTTGTAGTTCCATCACACATTGCTCCCATGAACAGAATGGAAGTATTGAAAGTTTCCATACAAAGGCTTCCGGCTACGTCAGGAGTCAATGGCAGTAGCTCCTTGCTGCCTTCCCTCAGCTTGCATCAGTGGCTCCTCCATGAAAGAAAATGCCTTCAATTAATGGAAGGAGCAGGTTTAAATTGCTGTCCAACAACACAGAAACCAGATTGATCAAATCCGACTCCTCTTTTGCAATGAACAACTGCTTTTTTAAAAGAATAATATTTTTAAAAAACATTTTTAAAATGTTTTTGTTGATTTTTTAGTATTTACTGTCAGCATTATCTGCAAGGCCTAGCCCAAAAATCATTTCTTTTATTTGAGAGAAAGGGGAAGTTAATTAGTTCAGATTATACTAAACTCTTTAAGTGAAAGTTTTTTTTTTCATGGTAGAGACTTCATAGAACCTTCTAGGTTGCACATTAATTATCTTTGCCTTGGCTTCATGCTGCTTTAATTATATTCATTATTTCTGTCACTCTTCAAAATATCATATATGGAACCTGTGGTCACTTGATGCATAACTATTACTCTTCTCCTGCTGAGTTGCTGGCTTAAGTCCAGGCTGTAGCACAAATGACTAACGCTGAGAAGTTAAATATGGTCCCTAGTTAATTTATATTAAAAAATAGTCACTTAGCTTTTTCATTAGCTGGTACAGGTACTTTTTATGTGTGTGTTCAAGATGTCAGTGATAAAGCCTTTGTGACTGTCATCTCAGAGTGGATGAAAAACAGGCTGTTGGCTTGCATGTGTTATTAAAAGGGACTCACAGTCACTGGTAGACCCAGGCATTAAAGAATTCTACACTGCAACCATGAGTGGCTCTACATGTCTTCTTATGTAAATGTGTCCATGTATGCACTGTACAACACAGTCTTCTTTACAGAAGGACACCACTGAGAAATGGTCTCCATAGGCCATAGACCATAGCCATCTGGTGACTAAATTCCAGAGTGAGCTTATTTTACCACAAGAGGAAGACAAAAGGCCTCCACTGAATTCAGATAACCCATTCCTCAGACCAATTAAAAGAGTGATGGTGGGCAGGGGGAATAATGTCCTCATGTGAATACATATTAATTCTGTATGAATCTTTTCCTAAATATTTGAAGGTGAAAGCACACTCAGCATTGTATCCAATGGATCTATGAAAGTCTTTTCCTTCCTTGTCTAACTCCCTGGACCCTCAGAAAAGTCTATCCATAGAGTCAGGGTAACCTACTGAATGATGTGCCCTATGTCTTATGGCAGTGGTGGCCAAACTTGGCCCTCTAGCTGTTTTGGGACTAAAATTCCCATCATCCCTGACCACTGGTCCTGTTAGCTAGGGATGATGGGAGTTGTAGTCCCAAAACAGCTGGATGGCCAAGTTGGATGACCACTGTCTTATGGGATTGCCTCTCACTCAAATAACCAATGGCTCTAACCCTCCAACTTTTCCCTGATGAAATCAGGACATGGTGTCTTTTGGTGTCACACATGTCAGCTGGGTCACGCAAGAGTGCGGCACCACTGCAAGTGTCGGCTCATAGCCATGGACATTCCAGGATCAAATCAGAAGCTGGGATGGCTTCTGTAATTCCAGGAATGTCCTGTTATTATGGAGACGGTTTGAGGGTATAACAAAGCCACATAGCTTGCTTAAAAATGCAAAACGAAATGCAAAATCATTACAGTATAGTGCAATAGAAACCAGATCATTTATATTATTGTAGAAGAATTTTTTCCTAAATGCAGATGCTGTCTTCTTAATTTTTTAATGTTTGCCAATAGTTTCAGTATCTCCACTCAAAATCAGAGTGCTAAATTTTAAATTTTTATATTGAATGTGAACGTCATCCTCAAAATCTGGCATTTGAAGTTTCCAGCTCAAAGTTGTTACATTATCGGCGTTTCCATGTGCTCTGGCTTCTGTCACGGTGTTCTGTTGTGCCAGACGTGGTTTAGTCATGCTGGCCATATGACCCAGAAAACTGTCTGTGGACAAATGCTGGCTCCCTCGGCCTGAAGCAAAATGAGCGTCACACCCCATCGTTCCCTTTGACTGGACTAAACCATCCAGGAGTCCTATACCTTTACCTGTTACATATTATTTACCAAATTCTATCAATTTCCACATACATAGTTGCCTTTGACATCATGGTTAGTTAACCCCACATTTCACATCGTTTCTCAAATATCAAGCTTTGAAACAACATATTGCTGTATGTCCAACAGAGATTTCAATTGGGTGGGTAGGGAGCATTTTGTAAATATTTATATATTTAGAGAATATCTTATGAATTTCGGTAGCAATATATACAGAATTTTGAGGATGATTTGGGAATGTATTCTTGTTGTAATTACATACATTTGAACTTTGTTGTGATTTGCACTCAATTGTGATTTCACTGTAAAGTTCCCACAGTGCTTAACTGTTCTTTTATATTGTAGCTTTGGTGTAATAGATGCTACATCCTGTCCCAAGTGCTCATGTTATGGTGCGAGAGGAGTTAGCATGCAGCCATTTGCATATAAAGTGCTTTGCAATTTAGATCTAATTCATCCTCACAACTTCTGTCAGAAAAGTAATTATGGGTTTCATTTTACAGACTGGGAATTAAAGGTGAACAGTGACTTGTCAAAGCCACCTAATAAGAAAATGTGATCTGAGAAACACATATTCTGCTTTGGACTTAAAAAAATATTGGAGATTGTGTGGGGCTATGAGGAGATGCTCTTCAGCCTGGAAGACACTTGTGTCACTGGTGGTAAGGGACAAATAAAAAGAGGGGAGGAGTTGTACTTTAGAAAATTAACAAGAAGGTCATTGATGTACAAGTAAGTATATTTGGTAGTAGAATTCAACATGAGGAATATATATGCAGTAAAAGTCAATTCTGTACTATTGATGACTGGGTATACTAAGAGAGGGGTAGATGGGGCTCATCAACCTGGGAAGTAGCCCATCTAGGAGAAGGAAAAGTCGAAACCTTTGCTGCCTTGTGGGATATCTTCGGGAGAAGAAAAGGCTAAGGCGTAAACCCTACACAAGTCTGGAGTGCAGTCCCTAAGTCACAGGGTCAGCCAACTTTTTCAGCAGGGGGCAGTCCACTGTCCCTCAGACCTTGTAGGGGGCCGGACTATATTTTGAAAAACAAAAACAAAAAATGAATTCCTATGCCCCACAATAACCCAGAGATGCATTTTAAATAAAAGGACACATTCTACTTATGTAAAAACATGCTGATTCTTGGACCGTCCGCAGGCCGGAGTTAGAAGGCGATCCAGCTGGATCCGGCCCCCAGGCCTTAGTTTGCCTACCCATGCCGTAAGATGTAGGGTTGTCATATTCCAAAAAGAAAAATCCAGGACATCCTGAAAATCGCTGAGCCTTTTTAAGACAAACCCCAAAGTTACAAACCACAAATTTTCAATTGACTATAAGATAGTTGGGTGGCATTTTACGTGCGTCCTTCCAGCAGCTTTGGCAGCCAAGCTAGTGATAGACATATTGCTCCAATTTCCTTTGGACCACATCAGTGAGGCTAAGAGCGGGGTCTTCTTGTCTGAGCAACCCAAGACCTTCATATACACATTGCCCAGGCTTGCACCCCAGAGAGGTGATGCTAACAGAGGTTTGACCTCACCCCCGGAGGCACAACTCCATTGTCTCTTGAGACAGATGGATACCAACAATACTAAGAGAAAAATACATGGTTGGCTTGGCTGTTCATTTTATCACAGTTTACAAAAAGAGGTGAACATTTTTCATGCCTTTTTGAGAAATTGGGAGACTTTTAGCAAAATGTTCAAGGGTGGAATTCTGGGCACTTACCATAATCCTTAAAATTACAAGCTGGCTGAGGAGTGTCAGATGTGCCCCCCCCCTTTGCTGACTGTGGCTTGTACTTATTGTTCATTGCTGCTGACTCATAAAAGGTTTTATAAAATGGATTTGAATTTTAAGATACTGGAATTCATCATTCTCAAAAGGCAGAATATAAATTTATTAAATTAAAATAAAGTTGTTGGGTTTTAAATCAACTTTCACCCTGCTCTGCAATACATTGCAGCTTTCTCCAACCATCTTACATACCCCTCAGATGATGTTACATAATAGCTTCCTCCAATGGAAGCAAGCTGGAGCACTTGACTGTTTTGCAAGGCTGTTTCTGCTTGAAGAAAACATAAAAGCAACCTAAATGGAAATCAGTGGATTTACTTCTGAGTAGTCATCCACAGAGTTGTGCTGCAATTAAGTTAAAAAGCAAAAGAGGCACTCTGTGAATAAATCAGTTTTCCTTTTTTTTATTTTAGGAAATATGTTCAATGGTATTTTAAAGACAAAATACCAAAAGAAAAGTCCTTCTAACTTTATTGTCTTCTAAAACACTCTCATCCAGGAAGACATTTTATTCACTATTTTAATGTAATTGGTTTGTGTTCTTATAGAGCTGTAAGCCTCTTTATAGTCTCCTCAAAGCTGACACTCATTGTAAAATTTGTGGGTAGTAATTGCAATGTATAGTTCTCTTATTTCTACTCATTTTTATTTCAAATGTATTAATTAAGTAGGCTTTCAAAGGAATGTTAGTCTAAGTTCCCCACCTGTTTATATGCTGTAAAAATCTTTATTGATGCCAGTAGTGAGTAAGTGCAGCATTTCAGACATCAGCCAAGATCCTGGAAACTTGTTCTGTTACACCAAGGAGACAGTAGAGCGGTTATAATCAAACAAGAGCCCTGACTTCTCATCAGGCAAATAATTTTTGAAGGGACCCTGACATAAAGTACCATGCAGCCTGGTAAATGGCCTTTGGTGGCAGGGCTGGTGAGATATATTTCTAGAAAAAATGTGAAACATTCAATTGTGCTAGTGCCAGCAACTACATGAGCCCAAGTAGTGTGTTGGATTCTGGACACAGGTATTAACTCTATTATTCTGGGACTTTTATTTGATACAGTTCAGCAGAGTTAAATAAATACCTGTTCTGACATTATCTGGAAAAGGATTTAATTTATTTCTAAGATTTCTTACCCCACCCCTCACCTTTAGGTTCCAGGGCAGGTGACAATAATCAAACATACCATTATAAAAAGAAATACAATGATTACAATTGTAAAACATATAAAACCATTCAGAATGGAACAGACCAAATGAGGGTTTTGCCTGTGGAAAGTACTGTTGCAATAAAGTGATCTATATCTGAGCTATGCAGTACGCTTTGTACTTTTCAAAATGCCTCCCTAATGAAAATTGTTCTATCGTCCTCATAACTTTTGGTGTCCTTCCATCTGTCTTTTCTGTATTCAAATCACCTAATTAAAGATAGAGTGTTCTAGGTATGAGAACGTTTTATAAGGTACATTACCATGTTCAGTACTATTTTATAGGTTTCAGATTTTCTTTGTACTAATAAACTCATATAACTTTATGAGAATTCAGTATGATCATGAATATTTTTAGTAATTTATTTACAGTTGGCCAGATTCTAGGGCTATTTAAACATGCAAAAATTCCAGTGATCGCAGCATTCTCCATTGATTCCACTGTTGGTGTGACTCCGCACAAGGTACTCCACATTTTGCTGTATATGTGGGAATGATCCAAAGCCCCACAGAGACTTCCAAAATACCACCAGGCCTTTACTAGAATTGTACGCCCCACACAGTGCATAGAGAGCATTCTCACAGCTCATAAAAAGGAACAGCTCAATATACATATGGAGTTCTACGTGCACTTTGGAGTCACTGGATCATATCCAATGATGTCCAGTGTGGAACTGGGAAGAGTGTTAAAACAAAAAACAAAATAAAAAACCATTATCAGGATAATATAGTTTAGAGAGTCAAACAACAGTTAAAGAAAATGTGCATGAATTAAATGTAGTCTATACGAAAGATGTGTGCACTTAACAAGAAAGCAAATCTAATGCCTCTTTTGATATATAAAAATACATTGGGCTGTGTCCTACATTGTTTTACTATTTGATCCAGAAGACACTTCACTAAACAAAAGAGGAATTGAGGTGTTTTTTTACTGATCACCCTTCCCTCTGCAGCCACATCCACCTTCCAGATGGCTTAGAGTCCCTCTGGAATATCATGGAAGTTGGTGCAGGAGAAAGGCAGAGTTTGTGAAAATAATCTATATCCAGCTTTCATTCATGGAAGCCTCTGCTAGATCAAAATCCCTTCTGAGAACAAAAGAATGGATCCAACCCATTATCATTATTAACATGTTACTGGTGTTTTAAAAAAAAGATTTTCATATGCTCAACTTTATAATATGCAGGAGTATTATAAAATAACCACTATTATCTATGATGTATTCTGGGATATTGTAGATATTATGATAAAGTATATACAATCCCAAATTATATTTTCTCTGCTTCAATCAATATGGTTTACTTTATCAAGGGAATATAGAATTCTCTAAAGATATGGTTGATATCACTATAGAGAAGTGTTACAAATCTGCATAGCAGCTGGGCAAAATTCTACATGTAGTTCTTGTAATAATGACCATGTATAATTTCATCCAAAAGACCCACAAACCATGCATCTCAAAGAGCTTAGGCTATTTCCATCTGAACAAAGAAGGATAAGCTAGTCTCGCTTGGACTTGCACTGTAGGTTTCCAGGAATCTGATTTACAGATTCTAATCACCCGAGACCACCACATTGTCTTCACAGAAGCATACGGAAGATATTAAGAGATCAAAAACAGCATCTTGTTTCCTTGTTCCAAAAAGAATAGACTGTAATTTTCACTAGCTTGTTCATAATGTAAGTTGCTTGGAAGATACATGAGGGAAAGGGTATTTACAGGAAGTTTGTAATAGATGAACACTAGGCTAAGTTAAATAAGTTAAATAACTTTTTTTTTTTTACAGAATCAGCATCTAGATTTAGAAAGTTTTCTGGCCTTTAAGAAATCTTCAGAGGAGGACAATAGCACCTCAGAGGAGAAAGAAGACAAGGAGGAAAATGAAGAATAGCATGAGCAATGCAATGTAAGATTCAAGCATGCTAATCTTAGGATGTGTACTATACACTAACCTGTTTATAGCACAAAAAGGAGTTTTTTTAAAAAATCCAGAATTATTCATGTTCATCCTCAACATGCTGCTTTCAACCTAGATTGATTCCATATCCTGCCATCCACAAGAGTGGGCATAGCTATTTGATGCACACTTAAAGTCCTCCCCTCAATTAGGTCATCCACACTCTTTTCTGCCTGAACATGCCCCAGGTGAATGAAGAATGAAGTGATGATTGTGATTGGGCTACATCCACCCCAACATCATTGCGGAAGTGTGGATACCCACCTCCCCCTGATTTCTGGGGCCACCTACATTTATTTTCATCTGATGTCAAATGGACACACTGTGGAGTAATGCAGAATCAATCTGCAACAAGCTTTAATTTTTGGAATGAAACCAGTTTCTCAAGAAGCACTTTTCAGAAACAAAAAATATGTACTAGATATAGATTGTGTGGGGACTAACAAAGAAAAACAAGTACTCAGTCCCCATTGATTCTAGAATAAAATATTGTGCGCGCACAGCCTCATTTAACAAAGCTGATGGTGCAGAAGAAGATACAGAATATATGTAGCCAATTGGTGTAAGCCTCTACAGCAATGTCTTAAGAGCAGGGTTATGGAACTTATGGCCCTCCAGATGTTTTTGACTCAAACTACCATTATTCTCCGCAGCC